TGTTTACCATTTTTATCTAATATGTACCTCTTCCACCAATACTTTATCTTCCTCCTCTTTGATGCACTTCACTTGGTCTAGACCTCGAGCCTCCTCTCCTCGCCTTGACAAATAGGTACAACTTCTTATCCCCCCTTTGTCCCCAGTTCTTCATACAAGCGTTAAAATGTTGTCGTCTTTGCCGCCATAATCGCTAATTTTACCTCCTTCTTTGCGCCTTATACCTTTTGTGAGCATATGATTTTTGCCCTACTAGAAATACTCGTACAAAAAAATTTAAAAAATAGGTTTTCTAAATTGCTCTTTTTTTTTAGTTTCGTAGGATTTTTGTAGGATTTTATTAATTGTTTGCATTTTTTGTGCATATTTAATATTTTTAAAATCATGAAAAATACCACAAAAATGTCAAAATTTCATGCATTGCATATTAGGCTTTGTGTTCGTATTTTAGGATTAAATTGTTAGTTAATTTCTTTATTAAATGAAAATCACAAAAAAATATTGTTCATTTTACATTTTTAGCTCTTAGTGTTAGATTAGTAATTTTTTCTTCATCAAATTAGGATTAATTAATTTCGTAAATATTATAAATAGATAATTAGTCTGATTTTATAGATTAGATTAATTCAGGTTTTAATTTAAGACTTTGATTAATTTAGTTAAGTGTTTAAAATTAAAGAAAAAAGAAAGGAAAAAAAATAAAGAAAACGAAAATGGGGAAAAATAATTTGATTTGGACTGGGCCACCCAAAGAACAAATTCAATGCCCAATGCCATTTCTACCCAATTCCGCCTAAGCCCAAAACTCCCCATGCCCGGTCTAATTTTTTCCCACTGAAAGACACCGTTCCCCTTCCCTTTAATCCCAGCCGTTGGATCATTTTGATCCAATGACTCGCAACTCACCCAACCCCAACTACTTAACTATCCTAACCCCTCTCCCTTCGACCTAGAGATCCCGTCCATTTTTTCCTCCCTTATCTCTCAAACACCTAACCCTAGCCGCCCTTGAATCCCTCGCTATCTCCGCCTTCTTCCGCCGCCTGGAAATCACACTACGGTGGCGGAACACCTCCAAACCGCCCCAAACTCACACCCACACTCCCCACACTCTTTTAAATGCAAATCCATCAACGATTTTACCAAAATCCTCACCAATCTCCGTCAATCTCAAATCTGAGCTTTCAACCAAACCCTAAGCCAACCAAAAAAAAAACCAAAATCACACTCCACAATCCCAAGCCTCCCCTCATCACTATCCTACTATCAATTTTCCCAAATTCCCCGTTGATTTGTTTGAATCACAGATTTAAGAACAGAAACCCTAGATTACCCGTTTTCAAATTTTTCTTCTGTTTTCCTTCGAGTTTCAAGACTCGATTTGGATTAAAACCTACGCTAATTGATCGTTGTCAACAAGAACGATTGATTAACGTATTTTTGATATATTTCAGAGCTTTTCTGATTTGCTAGAGCCTTTTAGGTATATTTCCTGATCTTTCTTCCACGTCTCTTTCTCTTGTTCTTGCTTTTTCCTTTGATTTTGCATGTGTTTGGCTTTATTTTTTGTTAAGGTTGTTTGTTTATAGACTAATTAGTATTTGAGTTCATTGTTTAGGTTAATTTAAAAAAATTTCGAGCGTGTTAAACTGTTTGGTTAAAGAAAATGAGTTTAATTACTTGTAATTAGTTTGATTGCATGTTTTGATTAACTTAATTAAGTTTAGATTAGCTAGGATTACCTATTAGGTTTCATTACATATTTGTTCCTATTTTTTATTTTTTGTTGCTGTTTTTTCTGTTATGTTTGTTGTTTTGGAAATTCAAATTCTGTTTGGGGTATTGTAGGGTTAATTAGATAAACACCATGATTCATTGGTCAGCTTAGGTCTCAAACCAGATGTGATGACCCAAAAGGTCATCACTTGTTTTAGAAATGAGTTCTGCATTCCTAGGACTTAGAAGCCTCCTTTTTCCTCACCTCGATTTATGTGCACAGTTCGGGCACATAGCCGGTAGGCCATTATGTGAAAATCTATGAAAATTGATGAATTCTAACTTTAAAATGAATTTAAGTTGACTTCGATCAATATTTTAGGTAAACGGATCTGGACTCATGATTTGACGGTCCCGGAGGGTCCGTAGGAAAATATGGGACTTGGTGTATGCCCGAAATCGAATTCTGAGGTCCCAAGCCGAAGAAATGAATTTTTGAAGAAAATTATTTTCTGGAAAATTTATGAGTTTTTAGAAATGAAAAATGTTTGGAAGTTGTTGGTATCAGGTTCGTATTTTGGTTTCGGAGTCCGGTAAAGGTCTTATATGTGGTTTAAGTCGAGCCTGTGAAATTTGGTAAGAAACGGAAGTCGTTTGATGTGATTCGGACCCGTAGTTGTAAAAATTGATACTTTGAAAGTTTTGAGATTTTTCTTAGATTTCTATGCTAAATTCGTTGTAAAAGATGTTATTTTGGCATTTGATCGCACGGATAAGTTCATATGATATTTTTGAGTTAGTATGCATGTTTGGTTTGAGCCCCGAGGGCTCGGATGAATTTCGGATACGTTTCGGAAGGTTTTAAACTTAGAAGATTTGGGGGTGTTTCCCTTCGCGAACACTGACCTGCTATCGCGAACGCGAAGGCCTTTGGGCCTGGGCAGGGGGAAGGGGATTTTACTCTACACGAACACGACCACACGACCGCGAACGCGATCGTTAATTGGGCCTGACCCATCGCGAACGCGACAGATCCATCACGAACACGATGAAGGTCTGCCCAGTAATTTTAAAAACAGAAGCAAAAACGGGCAGAACCCATTTACTTCATATTTTCGAAATTTGGGAGCATTGAGATGATTTTAAGAGCAATTTCTTCCCCAAACAATTGGTAGATGATTCTAAACCTCTTTCTTTTGATTTCCCATTTTATTTCATCAATTTTCATCCTAAAATCTAGGATTTTTATGGTAGAAATTAGGGATTTGGATAGAGTTAGGGAATTTTGATTGATTGGGATTTAGACCTCGTTTTGGGGTCATATTTCGAAACTAATTACATATTTGGGCTCGTGGGTGAATGGGTGATCGGGTTTTGGTCCGAACCTCGTACTTTGACCAATCGGGCCCGAGGTCGATTTTTGACTTTTTGGGAAAAATGATAGAAAACCTATATTTGAGTATTGGGTATGAATTCTTTAGCATTTATTGATGTTGTTAAATCAATTTGGACTAGATACGAGTTGTTTGGAGGCAATTCTAAAGGAAAAGCGGTGTTCGAGGCTTGATTTGGCCGTGGAAGTTCGAGGTAAGTGTTTGGTCTAACCTTAGCTTGAGGGATTAGGAGTTGTGTCCTATTTGCTATGTGTTACTTATCGAGTACGACGTATAGGCATGGTGACGAGTATATATACGTTGGCGTCAAGCATGACCGTGAGTCTTAAATTGATATTGTTGTAATCTTAATAAGTACTACGACTGCCTAAGTTGTTGATTCTCTATGTTGAGCAATGATTATGATTATTCTCGTGGAAATTTCTTATGATTGGGTGTTGGTGCTAGTTAAGGAAGTTAGATATTGGAACAAGTTTGGTTATAGCTGATTTTCCCTTGCCGGAACGTATCTACTTATATTGTCGATTCCCTTGCCGGGATAGTGTTGTTTCTTCATGGTTCCCTTGACGGGACTCTATTTATGCTTGGTGTTGAACTGTATATGTGGATCTGGTTGCACGCCGCAATAATATTATATTTGGATCGGGTTGCACGTCGCAACAATTTTATGTTTGGATCGGGTTGCACACCGCAACAATATAATTGGATCGAGTTGCACGTCGCAACAGTGATAAATGATATGGATCGGGTTGTACGTCGCAACAGTGTTCTTATGATTTGGATTGGGTTGCGCGCCGCAACAGTAGATAATAAAAGTGTTTATTGGTGGGTTACGATTTCCTTATCCGGTTGCTGTGAATTCTAAATTGTCATTATGCTTTTCTCTTGAATTACTATTGATAAATGATATTCCCCTCTAGCATGCCTCCTCCCATCTTTAATTGTTTATTTCTATTTTATTTTCCATTGTATATAATATAACTGCACAGATTTATTTGGTAGTCTGGTCCTAGCCTCGCCACTATTTCATCGGGGTTAGGTCAGGCACTTACCAGCACATGTGGTCGGTTGTGCTGATACTACACTCTGTACTGTGTACAGATCCCAAAGCGACAGCTTTTGGACCATAGCTGTGGGTGGCTGCCTTCAGTCCAGTCGGAGATTCCGAGGTAGTCCTGCAGGCGTCCGTAGGCCCCCACGTTCTCCTCTATCTTTATATTCTGTTTTCATTTACTTTAGAGACAGATTGTATCTTTCTTTCCAGACACTTGTTTGTAGTATTCGTATATGGTCCGTGATATTGTGACACCGGTTCCGGATAGAGATGTGCTTGGCATTGTCGTACTTGTTTTTGGCTAATTTATCAGATTACGTCTTCCGCATGTCTTTAATTATTGCTAATATTTCACCGTTGATCGCATGTTGTTTTAAACGCTTAAAAAGGGCTAAATAAAAGAGTTAGTGAATATATAATACTCGGTTTGCCTAACTTTCACGAGTAGGTGCCATCACGACTCCCGAGGGTGGGAAATCCGGATCGTGACACCAAAATTGTTTTGGCTAGGCTGCCTTGTTTTAGTTGATTGATCTTAGGTTTAAACGGTTTAAAGAATGAAAAGATAGTAACAAAATTTTTAGGAGTTTAATTGAAAAAACAATTCAGGGAATTCAAGGCTAGAATGGCCTAGATGGTTCTAGGAAGTTCCAGAAAGGGTTCTGAAATTAGAATTTAGGTCAAATTGGGTTGAAATTGTAATAAGCAGAACTTAAAAGTGTAAATTGGGAATTTAAAATGAGAAAAATATCATAAAGTTCTAGCATTGTACAGTTGTCCCCATTTTTAGTATGAAAATATTGAATTTGGGTAGAAAAAGGACAGACGACTGTTAAAAGATGTTGTACTATCTGACATTTCAGAATTTTAGGGTAGAATATTCCTTTTTTATGCTATCTTTGTGCATCTTATAAAAGGAATAGACCCTCACTCGTTCACACACAGACTATCATCAGCATTAGGCAATCTAAAAGGCAACTTTGATACACAAGGAATTCTGGAAATTGATTTTCACACTGGTTTTTCTTCCTTTTTCTGGGTTTCCAAGTGGATTTGAAAATAGAAATAGCTCCTTGTTTCCCTAGTTCATAATCCCTGCTATTTAAAGTTGGTTTTAGTCAAATATTCTGGGATTTTTGTTGCTGTTCTATTTGCTGCTGCTATTTTGAGTGTTGCTGGCTTTTATTTGATCATAAATCCTTCTCGTTAAGCTATCTTGAGGTAATCTACTATCAGCTCTCTGATAGTTTTTAGGTGTATGACAACTTTATGAGAAAATAACAGTTATTATGTTGAAGAATCAGTTCATTCGTTAGTAGATTTCCATTATTAACATTTGATTGGTTTATGCTTGTAAATGTGGTTAAGCATTTGAATTCCTGCTTATTCTTTGCAAATTTCTGAAGTAGTTCTAAGAGTATCTGTGATGCTTTCATTTTTCTTTATGAACTTCAAGCTTTTATCTTATTTGTTGTGACAAAAAACACATATGTCCTGGTTCAGCTTAAGTGGACTGAATTCTTACTGTGTTTTCCTTTTTTTTTTGGTATCAATGTTGATTCACACTTGAAGGAAGGTTAAAGAATGGCTAAGGGATGAATCTGACCACCAGTTAGTCAGATCCATCTCTGTGAAGTGTCTCATTCACAAACGCATGAATGGAAGAGCTTGAATGTGTAGTTCTATTGTTGTTCATTGCCAGTGCTGAAAGAAAAAAGTATAAGAGTTACTTTGGAATCTTATTTTGATTCAAGTTTGTAAATGATAGTTTTAATTGATAGAATAGCTTATTAACGTATTTCAAATTTTCCCAAAAAACTGGAATTTTTAATGTTCTGATTAGTTTTATTTAGTATAAGGCTGTTTTAATTTGATAATGATGTGAGTTTGCTAGACATTCTGTTTTCTTAAAATTTTTAAACTGTTTTAGCTGACTAAAATGAACTGGGCCAGGCACTCCAACATGACCAGTTTCCGTTCCCTTATAGAGAATGAAATTCTGGATTTCAGGCAGCTGGGCGTGAGTATTAAGCCCAATAACTTGGCCCAAATTATGAACTTGTTTTTTTTCTTCTGAAATTAATGTAATTCTAATTTTGATTTAGGGTATTAGAAATCCTGTTAGTATAGTTAATTTAAACTTGAATACAATAATTTTCTGATGAGATTTTATTACTCTTATGCAAATCAAATTTGGACTTAGACAATGTATGATTAGCGATTTATCATTTCTGAAAACACAACCACGACATGCCCAATCAATTTAGAGTTGCGACTGGGCCAGTTTTTACAAAATAGTCAGTTGGGCCCATTTCTCATATTTTTAAGTCTATAACAATTAATGCTAGATTACCCCAAGTAGTTAAAATTCCCCCATGTACTTTACAATAATCTCACAATAGTTTAGGAAATACTTTGAACATCGTAGTTTTGCTTTAGGCGTGATTAATAAATCATCGTGACTATGGGTACGGTTCATGTGATATAGTTATGATACATAATTCCCAAATTCGGGTGTGCATTCCATGTGACTCGATCATAAAAACTTTAAATAATAATAAAATAAACATGTCGCAAATCGCGAGTGCATTTCATGTAGCGTGGTTTGCAATGTGTTCCAAAACGGCAAGTGTATGACAATCATAACTTGTTCAAGAAATAATTCCATAAATCCTAAAAAGCGATTAAATAAATAAAAATGGTTATAAAAGTTAAAAATGCACAATAAGTTTAAAACATGTAATAAATCAGATAATTAGTCCAATTATTAATAGTTAAACGATCGTGCTAGAACCACGAAACCCGGGAATGCCTAACACCTTCTTCCGGGTTAACAAAATTCCTTACCTAGTGTTTCTGGTTTCGCAGACTTTTAAATAAAGTCGATTTTCCTCGATTTGGGATTTTTAAAATAAATCAGTGACTTGGGACACTATAAATTATTCCAAGTGGCGACTCTAAATAAATAAAATAATCTCATTTCGATTTATGTTACTTAAATTAAAAAAACTCCCTTATATACCCCTCGGGTAAAAAAGAGGTGTGAAACCTTTCCCGATTCATCCTCTTCTCGCCTTGTCCCTTCTCCACTGACTTCATATACGTAACCTTCTTGGCTTTCACTTTTTCTTGGACCCATCCATTCGACTACTAATCTCCTTATACATACTGTCTTTAAGAAAAAACCTAAATAGCCGCCACTTAACGCATAAAATTAAAATAGTCAACGAATGCACACTATTGGAAAATGGCAGAATTCTAACTGCCGAAACGATCGGAAATTAGTCGGAAATCACGAATATCCGACTACTTTCTAACCAAAATTGACCGGTCGAAAAACAGTTGGTCGGAAAACAGTTTCCGACCGAATCCGTCGGTGATTTCCAACCAAAGTAGTCGGAACGTTCAATAGGTCAGACAACCAAATATTTTCAAATTTTTGACCAAAGTGGTCGTATTTTACCGGCCGAATCGGTCATAATAATATAAATAAAAATAATTATTTATTTAAATTAAATAATAAAAATATACAATTTCCGTCCGAATTGCTCGATAATTAATAATTTAAAAATAAATTTTATTTAATTTCCAACGGAATCCGTCGAAAACTGTTAAATATTATTTTTTTAAAAACATTTTCAACCGAATTGGTCGGAAATCTGGGAAATTTTAGTAAAATCTAGGTAGCTGTTCGTCTGTTTTCATCGGAAATTAGTCGAAATTTTCAAACTATTACAATACAATAACACCAACAACTAATCAACCATTAACACAATCTAAACCAGCAATACCAACCATTAACACAATCTAAACCAACAATACCAACCATTAACACAACCTAAACAAACAATACCAACCATTAAACCTAACAATTTTGAGCATAAAAACATCCAAATAGTAGCCCACATTTAAGTTTAAAAACAAAACATAAAGTTGTCTCTCACAATCAAGTTTACTAATCAACACCTAAACTGCTACACATCAGATTCAGTTTGTTCATCCTTATCATCAGATAGATTATACCCATGTTTTCTCATAAATTTCTGCATCTTAACAAATGTTCCGAATTGGGAGTCCAATTATTGCTTCAAATCACGAATTTCCTTTCTCATATCTTCCATCTCTTCTTGATTTTGAGAAGAAGAAGAATTGGCTGAGAGTGGGTTTGGATGAATTGTAGGTCGATGTACTCCAAGTCTGTAGACTTTACCTTTGTTTACTCCACACGCTGCCTATCAACAATGAAGTTATATCATCAGGTGTTGGTTGTTGAAGGAGGTTGAATTTGTTGACATTCTTCCACCCTTTTATGATAATCTTCCTGAAATGAAAATATAAATATTATCTAAACAAACTAATATTATTAAACCCATAAATAATTATGAAATTAGTAATTTACATATGTGATCGACGCACACGTCTCCACCCAGTGTTCTCTTGTACCATCCTTCTTCTTTTTCTTAAGCGTCTCCTCGAAGACCTTAGCGTGACTCATATCTCACCCTCTTTCCTTTTCTTTCATAACAAAAAGTATGAGTTAGACATTACAAACGTAAAATTGTATATATAAAACTAAGAAAAATTTAATAAGTGAACACCAATCTTAGTTTATGGGCGGCAAAACTAATTAAACCTCTTCTGTGCAACGAGCCACCTTTACTGGAGGCACAATTTGTCTTTGCTTGTTCACTCTTCTCCTTCCATTCGGCGGTATTCCATTTCTCAAGAAGTTTATCCCAAACATCTTTTCTTAACCAGTCCAGCATTTTACCGGCATTCCAAGCAACGAACAGAGTATCTTTAATCCCCTTAGCAACCTTCTTCTCGAAAATACTATTTATTTCATTTTGATGCTGAGGATGCCATATACACTTTGTCTTCAATATAAAAAAGTAACATTAGATGAAGACGATAATTATTAAATAAATATAATCAATTTTTACCCTAAATTGATTCCACATTTTCTCTTTCATGCTGTACGGTATATGTCTCCAAGAATTCCATGGCTCATGATAAAATGGCTTCATAGAATTCACAACTAAATGTGTAGACTGACAGGAAAATCTGCATTAAAATTAACATATATATAATTAATAAACATTTAATGTTTCAAAAGTTTTAATTATAATAAATATTCCTTAATGTTAACATATCTAAAAGTACATTCAAAACTTAAAAAATAGTGTCCCGACCCATTTTTTCCCTCCACGGGGAGGAAATCCGGGTTTCGGCATTCATGGGGTGTATTGACTCATTTCCTTTTGGGAATTGAATATTTGAAGAGTCGCCACCTACGGATTATGTTGCATTAGAGCACCTAGAGTGATTAACTCTTGGGTTGGTTCGCATTACCAGAGATTAGGGTAAGGGCTCGAAATAACCTCGAGGGGAAGGTGTTAGGCACCCCTCTTGGTCCATAACTATGGGTCCAGGCAGAACTAATATTTACAAATTAGTCCATACAAATAGTTGAATCAAATAAGTTGTAAAGCTCACTGGACAAGTCAAGTAGAGAAGTAAAAGTTTGAACAAATTATATAAAATAAAGTTTTAAATAAGGAGAGGATTTGGGGTAAGGAGGGGTCCTAGGTTGTTTATCCTATAGGATCACCCCACGCAATGTCCGGTAAACACTCCTCAATGAGGGTCTACACGTGACATTAACGTGTAGTCATCATATCCCATGTCTACCATTCCCATCCCCTTATTGGTCATGCAAAGCGAGTGTTTGGTCACTGATTCCTATTGCGTGCTGCTACCCGTCCCTTGTTAATAGTCCCAGAAGAAATTAGGACATTTACCTATAGGTGGTTCTAGACGTACCCCTAAAGTTTTAAAGGCAAAAATCTAAGGCGACAGTCAAAAAAGCATTTAGGACTTACACATAATGGGAGGAATTAAAGGCTCACAATTCCTCCAAACAAACATACAGGCAGCACGACTCAAACACAAGTAATGTCTTTATTAATCAAAGTCCTAAGGCAAGATTTCTAAGTGGTTGTGCAGAAATAAACCATTTTCAGATACAGAAGTCATAACCTATTAGTTTCCTAGGGCCTCTTCTTTAAAAGCTTATTAAAATCAGAGACGTTGAATGACAGAAATAACTTTATAGAAATGCAGGTTTTGAAAATGCCCTAACACCTGCCTATATGCAGTACTGTGTCTATGTCAATGCAGAAACTAACAAGTTTTCGAAATAGACCCTTTTAATACCTATAAGCAAGATATCTGATGAGACTAAAACAATTTTGAAAGGTCTAGTTTTAGAAATGCCATCGCTGAATAAGACCAGTTTTAAAAAGTAAACTAGGCGAGATGAAATTGACTTATTAAGCCAATTAGATTTTCAGACATAATTACGAATAGAAATTCCTATAGGCATGGTATCTAGGCGTGTTACTGATTTTAGGCACTTTGCAGTAACATGTGAAAGACTTACTAAATCAGAATTATGTCCTATAAGGATGGTATCTATACTTGAATTAATTTAAAACATGATGGCTTGGAACTTAGAAGCATGGTTTCTAACATGATAAATGCAGAATTTATGAACATGATTTCTATCTGATGCAAACGATATTAAAAGTGAAGTCCTTATAGGCATGATTTCTATTTGATGCAGAGGAAATTAGAAGTGGAATCCTATAGGCATGATTCTCTAGTATGATGCAAATGAAATTAAAGTGGAACCCTATAGGCATGATTCTATTATGCAAAAGCAATCAGATTCAATCAAGAATAAGACCCTATGGACATGTTTTCTATTGAGTGAAGCAGGCAGATTTGAAACTAAATTCTAAGAGCAGGATTTCTATCCATATTACCCCATAAAGTATACATCTACCCACA